GGACGCAGCTCGAGACCATACTTATAAGTGAAGTAAATCAAACTCACCTGTATAAATACCGAATAGTTTCCCTAGTATAAGAAACGATAAGAATACATGAAAGTATGTGGTAATCATGATTCTCAGTCACACTGGTTTGAAGCCATATAATGTTTTCACTCATTATTTGGAATGGTTTTAATTTGGTTTTTATATTATTTGGTTTTATATTATTTGGCTTTAATTTGGTTTTTATATTATTGTCTGTGATACTACAAATGACTATTTTGAAGAGAATAAGAGCGTAATAGCTAGCGCTGATTTAATATCATCCTGTTTTGAAGCCCCATCAAGTTTTTGTTCATTTGTTTCCATTGGTTCTAATATGTGGTACCTTATTATATCTTAATGTATGCGATAGTATAAGCAAGGTTTTTATAGACAAAGAGATAATATAGAAATTGATGTTTGGTTTCTGCTAGCTGGCTCTAAATTCCCTGCAACAATTTCATTCTCTTGAATGGTCTCACATTGTCTTGATAAATTTGATACTATAGTATACGAAGTTAGATTCAAATATTTCAAGGAAAGCATACGAAGTACCAAAGCTAGGTCATGAAAATGTAAAACTGCTGAATAACCCAATTTCTATTAATGAAATTGAAAATGTAATTAAATCTTTACCTACAAAGAAGAACCCAGGCACAGACATATTCACTGCAGAATTCTACAAGAAATACATAGATTACCTAATGCCAACACTCCTCAAACTCTTCAGTGAAATTGAAAGGGAAGCAATCATTCCTAAATCGTTCCTACAAGCAAACATTACTCTAGTACCAAAACCAGAGAAGGACCCAACTGAAAAAGAGAACTACAGACCAATCTCCCTAATGAACACAGGTGCAAAACTTCTCAATAAAATATTGGCAAATAGGATGCAGCAAATCATCAAGAAGATAATACACCCCGACCAAGTGGGATTCATCCCAGTTATGCAGGGATAGTTCAACATATCTAAATCAATAAATGTAATCCACCATATCAATAAAGCCAAAAGTAAGAATCACATGATCATTTCTATAGATGCAGAAAAAGCCTTTGATAAGGTCCAACATTCATTCATTCTGGTTTGACTATTATCTTCTTTTTCATTTCTTTTGAAGTCCTATAATGTCTCCAATGTTTAAGTTTTATTGGTTTTACTCTGTACTGTTTTGTTCAATTTTATTATACCTGATGATATAGGAAATTCTTTTTAAGGTAGCATGAGGCATTATGGTAACCATTGTTGATTACCTTGTATTCTGTTTTTACGTTACGTACTATGTCCATCCTTTGTTTGACTGACTGTTTGTTTTGTCACATTTGGTTTTATTCTCTTCCAAATAAAGTAATAAGAACTGTGGAAGTAATAAAACCCAAAATTTGTAAATGTTATTGTAAAAAAGATAGGAAAAGAGAGTGCTCTAAATGATACAACTGCATGGGTGTTTATATGTGTAAGATAGACGAACACATTACTAAGTTTTTGTTGGATCGTTGAACACAACTGTTTGCAGACTCACTGTTTGAATGTCCACTTTGTGTGCTTTAATTTTGTAACTCAAACAACTACTTCTAAGATGACAATATGTAATCTATTAACTAGTGATTTCTTACTGTTTATTTTTTTGAAATTCTGTATTACTTGTAAACTTTTACTGATTTTTTTTTCTTTGAGTAAAATTTTTTTAAAAAAGAAACTTTCGGGTGGGAAAAAAGAAAAAAAGGCAGTTGGTAAAGCTGTGCCCAGTCACCTTAGTTGGGTTAAAACAGGAGTTTTCGAGAACTGGAGGTTATAAAACTTTACTTATAATGTAATTGCTTTTATCTACATTAGAATAAAGAACAACAGCTGAACAGAGGAAAAAGTTTGGAGAAACTCAAGTTTTTCTTTTTAAATCTTGCTTCAATTGACCATGCTTAAGCCTGACACAGCTTACATTAATGTAATGTTTTCTGCAAGTCAGTTACTCTAAGCAATGCATGTGATTCCACTTCTATCTTGGCCATACTTTTTGAAGGATAGGTAATGAAACCAAGGTTTACTGTGCACAGGGCATGTGAAGGATCTGGTATGTAAGCCATCAGCTGGGTTGTGGGCTCAAGCAGTATAGTTCTGGACCCTGATTTCTTAGTATAGTGTGTTTCATACAGAGTATCAGTGCTGGCTACCCCAAATCCAAGAATTTCTGCACAATCTCTCTACTTTTCACACAGTTCTGAATCAGGACTATGACTAAGACTATAGAGACAAATTGATTCCAGGGAAGCCAAATATCACCCAAGACTGCACTGCTCATAGGACAATCCTTTTAGGTACCTAGGTTTGTTTCTCAACCATCATCCATTGGCCTCCTAACACCCTAAATTGTTGTTAAGTCAGCACCATTCTACAGATGAGGAAACTGAGACTCATTGAGGGGTACTAGGTTACTCAAGACTGCATAACTTTGTGATACTATTTTGATCTGTTGGTGTCCACTCAGGGCCAGGATATTTGCAGAGAGTTCTTTAAAGCCTTCTCCCTTCTTAGAAGAAATCCTTGATTTCCATCATAACATAGATAACAAAACTGAGGATGAGAAAAACAAATGTACCATCTTTTGTCCACCACTCACTATGTCTTAGTGAGTATTTACTATGCCTAAAATAGTTTCATGCTTTGTATTTCTTTTACTAGAACTGATGACCACGTTCTACTTTGAATACTCCAAGCACTTACTACCACTTCACTTCTTACATTTTTCTTCAAGAATTCTGAGGTAAACGCTCTTCATGAAGTTCTGCAACCTAAGGAGATAACAGAACTCTGCTTTCAGAAGCCCCAAAATTCCTCTGGCTGCTGCTTCTCCTGCTTTATGTGCACTGCTCAGTGGAGGAGCCACATCTCAGTGAGAGGAACATCCTGGGTTTCCCACAGGCACTGAGATGTGTCCCTAAGGAGGGACACATACTGAGGCTAGTAAAGGATCTTCCTCTTCTAGGAATATCAATCCAGCACTGTCTCCTCCACAGAAATTTTTTTGGATCTAATGTGGTTTTAATGCCTGTTGCTGGATCACAGAAAAATCACAAGGTTTTCAGAGAGGGCTGGAGCAATGTCGTTCACTGATGTAAGCACAGTGGTACTGCAGAGAGTAAGGCTGTGGCTGAGGCTTTGAAGACAACACCTTGCCTGTCTCACCAAGTCGTAAGTCAAAGCTCCCTGTCAGCTGCCCTGTCAGCTGTCAGCTAGTCTTCAATGATGCAACAAAACTCTCCCACAGTCTTGGTTCAAGGTGAATCTTCCTTGACTAAGAGGCAGCATCTATAATGCAGCCACTGTGTTCAGTCTTCCAACTTTCTTACGCAGCCTAAGTTGGAGCAATGGCATGACAGAGAGGAACAAGTGCCCAATCAGGAGTCTGAAGATTGAGTCAGCCTAAGACACAGGCTGACTGTGATTAATCTAGGCATAGGAGGCACCATGTTAGAACTCCTGAGCCTTTTTTTTAACCAGGGAGGATGGGGTAAAGCCAAAACCTTGCCTACATCGAGGGGTTGTGAGGACAACTGATTGCTATCACATCTGGAAGGGAAATTTAGCAGTATCCACATGAATTACAGCACATTTTCACTCTGATCCATCCACCTCTTCCACTGGAAATTTAACTCCTATTTGGAATGATGGTTGTGCAATTTCATCATCTGCTGCACTGTTATAGTGGGCCGTGGCTGGGATCAACTTAAACTCCCTACCTACAGATGATTGAAAAGTTTTATGAAATATCATCTAAAGAAGTAACTTTCAGCTGTTAAAATAATGGAGCATCTCTCTACATCCTAGTATGGAATCCTAATATGAAATTATGGTGGGGCTGATGGTCATGACTGGTTTTCCAATCACAAGCAGCCTTTATGTACGAATGTTAGAGACATCCTGAACTGCTGAGAAATAGCTGAAATGCAAAATGTTTGATCTCTGATCTGCAGTTCTGAACCTCCAGAGGATAACTCCTGATCCCTTCATGGACACAATGTCTATGCTGGGGCTGCTTTTAGCATAGCTGAAATGAGATGTGGGTTCTGCTTCTGATCCTGGTACTAACTGAATATTTCTGGTCCTCAGACTTACATCTATAAGCAGATCAGGTTGGATGGTGTGAAGTTAACTTGTTCCAGAATTAGACATTAGAAAGAAGATGTTGGTTGTGGGCCAGAAACACAAAGTGAGCATACTGGCTGTCTCAGTGAGGGTTTCTTATGTCTCACATAGGATATAATTTCCTGAAAAGAACACTCAGGTAGTCTCACAGTCCTCAGTGCCTACTGGAGGCTGGTGCTGATACAACAAGGTTTATCAACAAGACAGGCCTAGGGGAAGGTTCAACATGTTGGCATTTCTCCAGCGATGGTGTAGAAATAAAAAAGGAGCCTCTGACTGTGAGGAATATTCTCACTACTTTTGTTTATGGGAAATGAATATAAGTGCAGTCTCCCACCTCTGCAACTTGATCAGAGCAATGAGAACTCAATAGGAGATGAGCTTAAACTGGGAAGCTTCCTTATTTCCCTGGCTTTAGGAAAGCATCCTGCAACACAGTAGACCCTCAGTGCTGTGGCATAAAGAAAGACTCACACTCAGAGAGGAAGCTCAATGTTTGTGAAGTAGGTGTGATCTGGCCCTAGTCCGAGCTGTGCACTCAAACTATCATGGCCCTCTTCTGTGGAAACAAAGGTAGGGGTAGAGTGGAAAAATAGAAGGTTGTGCAGTAGTTAGACATTGGCTTCAGATGCTCCCTGTTTACTTGCTGTGGAACCTTGAACCAATAACAGACTGCAGGCTTTGTCTGGCCTGATAAACGGGTGACATTAAATAGGGAACATGAGCACCCACCATCCTACCTGCTTCTTCACTGGTGCTCACAGAACACAGGGTATGATTCCTGACCTACTGTCATACATGGAGCGATGAGGGAAGCCCAAACTGTACTCACCATCCACAACCATCTTGGTGCCTCCTCCAGACAGAAACTCCTTCTCCTCAGAGCCTGTTTTCTGGAACTTGACACAGTAGTAGGTGCCTGCATCTGCAGGGGTGACATTACGGATTCGGATTGAAAGGTCCATGTTGTCTCTGCGTGTCGTATCTGCTACATTTGTGACTCGTGGGAAGTGGCCTCCTTTATAATTGTAGATCAGCTCTCGGCCTTGTCCTTTCCCCTTGAACCACAGGATGGGTCCTACAGGTAATAGAGAGGTCACAGTGCAGTTCAGAGTGGCGGTCTCTCCTGCAGTAAGAACCACTGGCTTCTCAGGCTGAATCACTTGCAGAATCACCTCTGTGGCTGTTGGCAGGAAAACACAGAGCAGTTATCATTCTTCCTGATAGTTCCTGTGTGTTTTCTAAAGATAATCAGTATAGAATTCAGTGACTGAGTGCATGCTATCAGTGCATACTACAGCTCAGCACATAGCATTTGTTATCACATTCAACTCTCAAATGAGTAGCTCTTCATGAGGAAACTGATGGCCACAGGTGTTGAAAAACATGATAGAGTGTGATTTGAGTGCCACTGGCTTCTTCAAAACATCAGGATAATCTCATCTTTCACCAAATATTTGTTACTCTTCACATAGTACACTAGGCATAGCACAGCACAGCTTAATGAGATTTCTTTAGATCACTGAGTCTGAACAGAGGTGGAGGTGTCATCAATGGGACATGCATTTCACTCTGGGAATCCATGTATCAGTTTCCCTCTTTCACAGAGATGTTCAGGATGTGATTTGTTCTTTCAGCCTATGAGATTGTGGTACCCAGAACTCCCAATGTGCAATAATATGTAACTTAATAGGAAGTGATGCATTGCTTTAAACCCCTAGGACCTTTTGCTCACATTATACTGACTTGTATTATAGGAGATAAATCTCATTATGCTGATTTTGTTAGTTATGCTACTGTGACAATTACTGAAAATTTATTTCCTTAAAATGACAAAATTATTCCTTCATGGATGAGAGCATTTAAAATTCCATTTTAGTGCCACTGACCAATGCACATATACTAAAAAACAAGAGTATTCACAGATCTAGAAAAGTAATACTAAGTTTTATTTAGAATCAGAAAATATGCAGAATCACTAATGAACACCAGAAGGAAAAGAGCAATGTTGGAGATATCACAATACCAGCTTGCATCAGCACCATGATAAAAAACATCATGGTGCTGATGCAAAAACTGACATACATAAGAACAGAATAGAACAAAAGACACAGGAACAAAGTCAAACACACAGAGCCATCTGATTTTTAACGAAGAATCCAAATACATACTAGGGAAAGGACAGTCTCTCTAGTGAGTAGTTCTAGGACAACTGGAGAGTCACAAGAAAAAAATTGAAATTATATTCCTTTATCTCATTCTGTGCTAAAATCAATCAATAAAGAGCAAAATGAGATTACAAAACTCAAAGCAGGGCGTGAGTGAGCTGCTGGTGCTCCAGGGAGAGAATAACTCAGTGTCTCCCAAGAATCAGCCATGCAGAAACTTGGCGGACAGATCAAGAAAGCAAGGAGTCAACCTTCCTGGTAAGTAGTGCGAATGAACCATGGGTGAGCCAGGGAGAGAATCACTCAGTGTCTCCCATGTTCTGTTCCCTCCCAACCCCCCAAAGCTCCCTAAATCACCATTCCCAATAGGAACTGGATGGTATTGAGGTCAGCTGGAGTTGATCGCAACTAAGGTGAATAAAGCAACTAAATGGTTGTATTGTTTGGTTGGTTATGCTGTGACCTGGAGCCAGAGGTCTGAGCATCTCTTGGGAGCATGACCCTACACAATATAGCGAATATGGGGGGATTTCCATCTAACTTGTTTTTGAAAACCGGTAATATTTTCACTGTTTTGATTTATTCTGAATAATAGTTTTTCTCTATTCAAGATTCTGTTTTGATTGGTTTTATAGTGTTCTGTTTTTGGTTTGATTTTACTATATCGAATTGAAAAATTGACTACTATTGTGAAGGTAAGAAGTTATATTATCGTAACTATTACTGTTATCCCAGGATCCTGTTCTGAAGTTCCGTACCAATTTCACTGCATTTTCTTGACTGGCTTTGTTCTGTCTTGTTTTGCTGTATTTTACTATCCTTAAAAAAAAAAAACCAAAAAACTAAAACAATGAAAGTAGGTGGAAGAAACACAGAGTAAACACTTTAACGCATAGATACAAGCAAAGACTTCCTGAATATTTCCAACGCACAGAAAATATTATCAAAAGATTAAAAGAATGGTATTGTATCAAATTAAAAGATGTTTGACAAAGAAACAACTACCAGAGTGAACAGACAAATGGGAAGAAATCTTTGATAGCCAATCTGCTGACAGAAGAATAATACCTGCAATATATGAACAATTCAGAAAAACTAGACTTCATAAAACACAGAGAGGAATACAAAATGTGAAGAAGATCTGCTTCTTGAAAGAAATGTGCTTAAACTAAAAGATTTTTGTTTTGCATGACAGGAAGATTCAGGCTTTCCAGTGATTTGCTCCTTTTTTGTTGTCTTTACTAAAATGACAAATTATTGCTGGGCATGGTGGTGTATGCCTGTAATCCCAGCACTTGGGAGACTGAGGCAGGAAGTTTGTTGTGAGATCGACACTAAGTTGGGCTACAATGTGAGCACAAGGCCAGCCTGAACTGCAGCGGGATCTTGTTTCAGAAAGACCAAGAAAAAAAGATAACAAATTATGCAAGATTTCTTGGAGGATCATTTTTAAAATCACCCCTACCTGGAATGTAGTCACTAAAATCTGTCAGTCTGTAAATGAGTATAAAAAAGGTAAAAAGAAATTATTTAAAAAAACAAGATGCTGTTATACCAAAAAGTTGAATCAAGACATAAAATTTGGAAGCATAGTTCTTACTGGTTAGTCAGATGATTTTGACTTGTTTCAGTTTTCCATTCATATAATTTGGCTTTAACTGTCTGTGGATGAATCTGATACATTTACATTGCTATGTTCCTTTTTCCTATCACTAACATTTTAATCTAAATAGATCTCTGACAAATGGGTCCAAGTAAATTTGTTGATAAGCTAAAATACAAGTCTGCAAAAGTTAACATACATTTTGCCTATGTTGCCAGCCAATGAGGAGTATTTTTGTCTCTGTTTATCTTTAGAATACAATATTCAATGCTTTCTATGTTTTATAATTTGCAATTAATAATGGACACCCAGGGAAATCCAACCTAAGAGCAACCCTTTTCTTACTCACATATGGCTAGAAGGGTGTTAACACTGACTTGTAATGATCTCTTCACATCCCCACCAATAAGGACAGGTAATTGGGACAAGACATTACAGTCAAGGAGGGACAATCCAAACCAAAATCACATGTTGATTAATTGTTAATGCCCTCTGAGAAATCGTTCAGAGATAAGGAAGGACCCCTGCCAAAATAAAAGAATAGAATCACTAGGCCAACACTACAAAATGTAAGCAGAGTCAAGAGTTCATTTCTTGGTTCATTTATTTATTTATCTATTATCTTTGTATATAATTGCCTGAAAGCGAATGTCTTTCTACTAGGTGTAGCTCATGCATTTTATAAGGATTCTCCATGTGAGAAACAAAAGCAACAACAAAGAAACAAAGCAACAACAACCATCCCTCCCAAACCAAAACCTTGTATTACAGATGTAGCTATGGAGGAGGGACAGCAGACGGGAGAGAAAGACAGAGAGAGGGAGGGAGAGAATGTGTGTGAGGGAGACAGACAGAGACAGAGAGACAGAGAAACAGCCACAAAGAGAGACAGAGAGAGACTGAGGAGGACAGAGAGAGAGAGAGAGAGAGAGAGAGAGAGACAGAGAGACAGAGAAACACAGAGATGCACACACAGAGAGAGCATGCACCTACTTTCTTTAGTTGATTATCTTTTGACTTTGACTACCTCTTGTATTCTACTTTCCAGTATATAAAGGTACTTTTACTTTCTGTATCAAGAAGCTGGCCCCTGTTACATGAATGCCTCAGTTTCTGAGCAATAATTCAGAAATGAGCAGCCAGCCAGATGACATGGGATCCCAAGTCCCTCAGAAATGAGGAACGAACTAAGGACGAGGACCATAAACAAAGAATGAGGAAAGAAGCAAGGTGCTTTAAAATTAGGAATTTAATATGTTTTAATTAATTTTTTCACTCAGTTCCAGCTCTTACAGCTAATCATCCCATGTCAGAATGGAGCCAACCCCCCCAATCCAAAGTCCTGTGCTACTAAAACTCCCTGAACCAGAAATGTAACATACCTGTATACCTTTAGGCTCCTTGGCTTACCACCTGCTTGAATATAGAAATGTGTAGTTTTGGGTTTTTTTCCATGTTAATGAACCTTCCTATAAATTGTAACACTACATTGGATTCCAGGAGGTCAGAATGGAATGGATGCCTTTCCTTTTGGGGCAAACCCTGAATCAAGTTAGTTGTTACTTCACCATCCTTTCTCTCATTTGTTAATTAGATATCTGATGTAGATAGGATTTCAAATCCAATCACTTGGGACCACAAAGTTAAGTTTCTGTTTAGGCTCCTTGCTACCATGCCCAGATCATTCTGTCTTCACTGTACCTCTCCCCAAAGAGTCTTCGATTCTCTCATCCATTTTTCTCAGAATGGATCACAGGATAATAAATGATATTATTTACCTGTTTACAATGTGCATAGTGGGTGTATAAAGAACAATACCTATTAACTATTATCATGAAATCAGGCCATCCCTATTTCTTAAACTTCAAATTTACTCTGTTGGAAGCTAAACAGGCATAACAGAAGCAGGGAGGAAACACCAGGAAAAGTGTGTATTGTTCCTGAAGCTGCCAATTGCCAAAGAAAAACCCAAGTGAAACAATGACCAGTAATTATTTATTCCCTAATTTCCTAATAATCTACTCAGAATACAGAGCTGACAAAGTAGCTTCCAAAAGATGATGAGACTGTAGGTGCTTACTGAAGAGCAGTGTTTAATTGTACTGAAAGTCTAGGAAGACAGGACAGGTTCCTCAGTGACATTTTTGATCATTGAGGCAGGGAGGGTTCCTTGCTGAAAATCAAGGATATCCCGATCTTCAGTGCTTCCTCAGCATGGAGTCAGAGAGATGGCAGGATCTGAACTCAGGTGGGGATCTGAGCAGAGCTCTCTGGATTGCCCCTCTGTGCCTCTGAGACCTGCTTCTTTGGAGTTATCCTTATCCTGCCTAATATTGAGAAAATTGTGCCCAGCACATGTTGTTCTGATCAATCCTATCTGAAAAAGGACTTTCACAGCCCAACTCCATGAAT